ACTCGTCGTGGTTTTGTCGAAATGTAGCGCCGAAAATTGACAATGCTGCATAGAGAAATCATGCCAAAAGACAGGATAAAAAAGCATATGCATTGTTCATCTTTTATAATACTAAATTGTTACTATTGAAAAGAAAATTCTTTTACATTTACGGTCTAAAACTTTAAAATTTTGCGATGGGATGTATCTTACATGATGCTAGATTTCAGAAAGTAATCCTGAAAAAAAAAACGCTAGATATTTAAAATGGATAGCAATCGAACAGATGAGAAATACTATTATCATCTTGCGATTAGAGTCATGTTATTATACAAAAATACAAAAGTTACATGATTTGCACTGTTTTCGTGTCAATGCAAGGCAAAGAACTGTTTTAAAAAAGAACGAGTACATACACCCCTACTAATGTTTTTGTGATTTAAATTCAAGACACGTGGTAAGGTTTAGCTATTCAAAGGTTAGAGGGTAGAACTGGTTTTATAAAAAAAAATTGGCAGTAAACAGGAAATTAATATAGTCTGTTTCTTTTGAAAAACATGTCCTGTGAAAAATGATTTTCCAGACCTTTCTGAAAGACATTCATGATTTTCAACAGAAATGGGTAGTTAAAAGGGGGGGGGGGGTTAAATAACAATTAATAGATCTTATCATAGTTTACTGCAAAAATTACAGCTCACTATAGACCGATACGCTGGTAAAAAAGACTGTGTAATATCATCTTCACTGACAAACATTTGTTTTGCCTTATATGTAAATTGTTATTAATGCGCACAGAGGATCTTACAACGAGCAACTGACTAACTGTTGATTGAATACGTTTACGCCAAATACATGTTTACATGTTACCTCGAACACGTGGTTCAGGTCAATCTATGATCATGTCAATGGGGTGCAAAATAAAAAAAAAAAAGGTTCTCATGAACAAAATGCAAACATTAGAAACTATGAAAGTTATCACGGACGTTTTAATTTGTTGTTAACTAGAAAAAATATGTTTAATAAAATGTATAACATATACTTAGTTAGTGTCAAGTTCAGAACACCAGCACTTCAAGGATAAGGAAAACGAGCATCTTCTCGTTTGCATTTAAATGGACAAAACATATTTTATGTAACTATACTCGTAATATAGTTCTTAGTGACCGGTTGGCAGGGGATGCTCACTCCTCCATGGCACCTGATCCCACCTCTAATGTTTTGGAGGTCCCTGTTTACTCTGCTCCTATTTGTATTGTTTTATGGACTTATGATCTTGAATACTTTTCGTTATCTCCATATGTTTCAATAACATCAGTTGATAATTGAAACAATAGTAAATAAATCATTCTTTTTTTTCACATTGTTGCCTTTTTTATTTTCATCGAAATGAATAATTCATTTCTGCATAACTCGTTTCAGTGTAATTGAAAATATGAACGATCTGTTGTTGATAAAAATGTTCATACATCATTTCAGTTTGAATAATTACAGAGTAATACATTTTGGATTTTTTTTAATTAAACGCAGAACCTTTTAGAAATCATAATGGTCACAAATTAATGAGAACAAAATAGATGTATGAAACCCTCTTAGTTATCTTACATACCTAGAAATATACTTTAATTGAGAAGCCAGTTTTAAAAATTGATAAATGTGTTTGTATCAATTGATTTATGAAATAAGTGCTCAAGCACATTGTATTCTTGTTTGAAACAGAATAGAATTCTTTTATTTATGATGTGTATATTTCCAACCGAATGAATAAAATATATCATTGTAATCCAGAATATGAACGATCAATTTTTAATGAATGATTAATATAAATATATCAATGTAATCAAGAACATGAACAATCAATTTTTAATGATTTGAGCGTTTTGAATATTAAAATTGATATCATTTCTTTTTAGTGTATTACAATGAAATATGTATCCCAAAAATAGATTATGAGCAAAACGCCAAATTTTACACCCGCCAAGAAAAAATATCATTATTATAATGACTGGATATCAGGGAATATCCTATCCTTAACAATGTATTGGAGAAAGTGTCTCATCGGCAATATCCGTGGAATATTGAGCAAATCTGTGGGAGAAAAATTCCAGTGTGAGAAAATACAACCTTTTCTCTCATGGGAAAAAGGTGGGGTAGTTGTTGGGACTAAAAACTCAACCATTCTCCCATTGGATGCTGACTTTTAAGACTTTATATCTCTATCCAAAAGAGTTGTTTGTTAGTACAACAAGAGGCACTGTGATATTGATATATAGGAAATCCAACCAAGTGCTTTTATCAATTTTTGGACATCACAGCTAGTAATGGTTGTAAAAAGTTTAAACAATAAGTTTCGGATCGAGTAAAATGTTGCACTGTTCACCACTGTTAAGATTTCGTGAAGAAAAAAATAACCCAACGATCAATCACCTGCAAGCTGTTGTATTTTAACAAGTACAAAAACACTTTCTTCCTCTAACTATGATAAGTACGACTTGATGAAGTCAATTGGATGAAAAAAATATCTTTTTGCTTGCCATCATATGCCTTATTTTTGCTATTTCAAGTAAGTTATGTTGCTGATAGTTATTTCAGTTATTGTCTCTGTAGGACAAAAAAATATATACTCAGTATATTATAAATGACTTATATTACTTTTCCATGTGTAAATATAAACTATATCTAATTATAAATAGAATTCATAAAACCAATTATTGAGAGCAGTGAACAGAAGACCTGCATAAAGTTTGTTCCTGGGAATTGTAAATAATGCGTTATTTTAATTTATTCAAGATGCACAAGTTCTGACTCGTTCTTTTAATATTGTCTAAAATTTCAGAAATACTCCTATATCCATATTATTATGTAAAACAATTACCTACCCAAGGTTTTGAATGGATTTTTTGTTTCAGTTCTTTTATAAGTCACGTATTCTCTGTCTGTCTATTTGTCCGTCAGTCTAACTGTCCATATGTCTTTTTCCTTGTATATTTATCAGTCCCACTTGTTTTTCTTCACCTATTTGCTAAATGCTTGCAGACATTTAGATAATTTCGACATTTGAGCGTACATAAAAGAGGTACAGCTCAACTTTTCACATATTTGCTATGTTTTATTAAAGCACAATAGGATATGCATGTACATGTGTATCAAAATGATCTGATAAAAACATTTTAAGATCCAAAGATCAATCCAAAAATAAACTAAAAACCTTATAAGAAGAAAACATAGGTAGTCACAGATCTTATAAAGCAAAATATGAAATCCCCTTACCCTATCACCTAAAAATTATTTCTCAATTAAGAAGCCCATTATTAAAATTAATATATTTGTTAGAATCAAAGATAATTTAAATAATAATTCGATAACTCTTGTTCACTGAATTGCATTTCTTTATTTACGATGTGTTTATTTGCATGAAAATGGATGCATTATTTAAATGTAATTGAAAATATGAACGATTTATCGTTAATGAATGCACATTATCATGCATCATTTCACTGAAAGTTTTTACCGAGTAATACATCTTGGATTTTTTTTAAAGAAAGTAAACGCAGGACTTTTTCAGCATAATGATTACAGAATTAAGAGGGGAAACATTAACCCTCTTATGATATCCCCCTAAGAAATTTGATTCCATTGAGAAGCCTTTTATTAAAATTAAGGTATTTTTGAAAGTATAATTTGGTAATTTAAATAATATATACATTGTAATTGAGTCATTATTGTTCATATCATTGTATCATTCTTTTATTTATGATTTATTTAAGGAATGAAGTTTATTTCAACTTATGTTATACGATATAACATAACTTGGGGCAGTTTACGCTTTATGAACCGCGAAGCGGTTTATAAAAAAGCGTAAACTATCCCAAGTTATGTTATATCGTATAAAATACGCTGAAATAAACTTCATTCCTTATAATTTAATTTATGTGTAGACAATGAGACAATTTTTCCTCCGGAAAAAGGCTTCAAATTGATTATTATTTCAAAAGTAATGTCAAGCGGAGTAATACGTTTTTGACGTAACTCGTTCTGACGTAGGCAAGTTATATTATAAAAAATATTTTATGTTCCTCTGAATGATTCAGCCAATGAAATTGCTTGATACAAGTGAAATTAAATTATTTAATTTTATCAAAATGAATTAAATATTATTTCCTTGAAAAATGATCAACGTCAAACATAATTATACTGAATGTTACATTAACATCTTGGATTTATTTTCCTAGTTCAAGTTCCTACTTGAATTTAAAAACCCATAAGAATGAAACTAACATTGCTCCAAAACAGTGTGTATTATTTGAAACATCCCTAAATCCTTAATGATCTAACGAAACATCTACTCATATATCAGTAATACATTGTGTTAAAATCATTTAGAACGCAGATACAGATAGCCCATGTTATACGATTAGATATTATATCACCGAAATACCCTTAATTAAATACTTAAATGCTTACCAGTATTATCGCATATATAGTAATACGCAGATGTGTATAATTAAAAGTTTGACGTAACGTATAATTGCTGGGCTAATACACTTATTAGTGTATTACTTCCACCGTCTGCCGTAATTTCTTCAACTTCAAAATTCTACGCAACTCGTATCAAAATGTTGCACTGATTTCAGTACATCTTTGATATGTAGAAACAAAGCAAATTTATACTCTATGTCAATGTATCAAGTAATGTGTTTTTCTTCCATTTGAAACTTTTCACTCACGAATGAGACCTTGTGATAAGTCGATATGCATTTGGTTGATGCATATATCATGCATATCTTTGATTTAGACTGACATAACCTTCGGTCAATATTTTCTATTTATCGTCTTTGAGATATATTAAAACAATACAAACAAAATCTTTTTCAGTTATTTTTAATCATAAACGTCTTGTATCAATAAATCTTGGTATTTCCCTATTTCATTTTTTTTTTGGCATCTTAATCAATAAAATAGCAGAAATTTTATTTTCTCGATACAGGTATTGAACTACTCAATAAAAACAATACAAAAACATATATATTATAAAAAATTTAATAAATAAATAACCTTTCATAAAGGCACTTATAATTCTGATTGTTGCTTAGTCCAAGATGAAATGCATAAATTATATTCACTAAGCTGAAGATATACAATATCGATGTGATAGTTTCAATTTTTGACATTTGTTCAGCTTATCACCATATGTTTATCACCAAAGGTCGATAAACAATTGCTACACATTCTTTTAAACATCATTATAGACAAGATTAACTAATCCAACAAGTCGATCAGCTTACAAAATTTTAAATTCTTTGTTCTAAACTGCTCTAATTGATTTACAAGATAACCGGTTATTGTGTAATTATTCCACATTCTGCATTTCTACCATGTCATTCCATCTTGTCAAAGTCTGTGTATGTATAGTGTCACGTCAATTTAACCATTCAAAATTCATGTTCTAATTGTTCATCGTTGTATGAAAAGTTGTCCTTTTTGTCCTTGGAATGCATTATTTAAAAGAGATTGTTAGATATCTAATGCTAAATATGATTGTTACAAATAAAACGGAGGTCAGGGAATTTGTCTTACATTCATAAACATGTACATTGTACATAAATAAAATATAAAATTAAAATTAGTCTTTCAAAAAACGTATGTAAGGAGGTTTGAAAGCTAGTAGTACACAAGAGGGAGTTAACTTTTACATGAATACCCTTTTAAATAAGCACCTTATCAGTTAATAAAATCTAAATAAGAAGTTTAACTGAACAGTACACAAATTCTATAGAAAGATGATAAATAAAACACTAAATTGAAACATTGTAGAATTGGAATGTTAGAGAAGGACAAATTAATCATATAAATGAAAAAGGTGAAAATCAAAAATAGCATTCGATCTCAAAAATCAAAAAAAATCTATAACTATGAAGGAGTATTTTATTCTAGTTGCATTGATAGATAAAATAAAAAGGCCCAAATGTTGGCCATTAGTTACAAAATAATTAAAACATCAATCATCAAAAAAGCAAAACTTAATGAGCATCTAACTGCTTCAAGAACAAATTAATGAACATAAATCGCAAAGTTGAGCATGACTGTACATGTACAGTCTTTGAGGAACACGAAAAAGCTAGAACATTTTATATTTCTATCTGGTATATATATATATATAGATCACAAATATATGGAAAACATTATATGGTAAGAAAGAAAACAAATGAATGCATATTTCATAATTAAATGCTAATTAAGGATAAAGAGTAAACAAATCTTTAAATAAAGAAGACTGCATTCCTATAATTGCAAGTGAAAGTACACGTACAAGACTTATAAAATATTGGGATTTTTTCAATCCTATAAATGATAAAAGCACCATGTATTGTAATTTATTTTATAAAAATGTTATAAAAATATAAACCTATATAAATTTATGGACTAGAGCAATAACAAAATGGCTTCATTAACCTTTCTTGTATACACGCAGACTGGTTTTTGTACATATTTGTTCTAGTAATGACGTCATCTAAAATTGTCATGTGACCTGAAGCATCTCTTTCCACAGTCGATTCAAATTTTGCGTTTCCAGGGGTTGTAGTTAAAGAAATGATAAACCTCTGATGAAGTCTGCCGTCAATATCAGACCGATACATCAAATTACGTAATGTAAATCTCGAGGGAGTCTTGACAAGATTTGAGTCAACAACGGAGGCATTATTTACCCTTTTTAACTTCAATTCAGCGCATTTTGGTGCAAGATGTTGTAGTTTTTTATTGAGTCTAGAAGTAATAAAATGAGCCATGTCTCGAACTGTGGGATTACTAGGTTCCACTTCCTGAGAAGAATAGCACGGACAGAAATGTTCCGGAATGTGAGCACTTTTACAAGATCTAGTTTTGGGGATTTCCTGAAGGAGACTAATCCCCCGTGGTAAAAAGTTTGTAAACTTTTCCTTTTTCGGCACAAAATCACTAAGCAAAACATTTTTCAAAAATTCATGAATATCATACACAGTAATTAAACGCTTTGTATTCTTAAGCATATTTTCATGTATATGTGGATATCTATGCTTTAGAACAGGTGGTATAGATATAGCAAGCAGGGGCATGCGTGCTTCGAATCTACCGACAAAAGTATTTTGAATCTCATTCATTAAGTATCCATGATCACTTAGGAAAATAAATATTGAGTTATTAAGTTTACCTGTTGTATGCATCCAAGAAACGAATTGAAAAATATCATCGTCTCCTAGTTGAAGATTATTGAGGTAGTCGTGACAGAGTTCGTTATTCCAGCTTAAACCAAATTTAAGTTTTTCTCCATAACGTTCAATAAACTGTTTGTAATAATCAATGATGATTCTAAATTTCGGTGTGTTACCGAAGCAAAGACCTCCCTGGCTACTGATTCGAATACCCTTATCGGCAAGGTACATATGTGCTTGGTCCAATTTATTTTTGTAAAATGATACTTTGTCGAAGGCAAGAAACATTGGTCTAATGTAGTGGTCAACGGGTTGTTTATTAAATCCTTTTAATCCGGAGTTAAAAGTAGATATTTCTGGCCAATCTTCTGCGTGAAATGTTGCATAGCCTTGTTTTGAGAAATTTTTCCAGAGGAAAGGAAAATCGTCAAGAAAATCTTTCGTGCTTGGGAGTTCATCAATGGCTTTACCCGTCAAAAGTGGTGCTATGTTTGGAAAAGTATTTCCACCAATTTTTGTATATCCTTCAAATACATAAGCTCCTATATTATTTTTCAGATATTTCATAGTCTTCTGTAATTTCCTTTCTGCGTTCAGTCTCGATACAGCATCAATTCCATAAATAAACACATTAAATTTTTCTTTCTCATAATTTATCTCTTTTTTCTTTTGTAATGTTTTTCTATTATTGATACCATGATGCATATTGCTATACACAATTTTTCCATCAGCACTTTTACATACAATGTAAAAGAAATCAGCAGGAACATAATCGCCAGATTTAAACGTCACTTCCGGTTCCAAAACTACTTCCATATCTCCTTTTTTCCTAGTCACAATTTGATATGTACAGGTCAGGTCACCTGATCTGGCATGATTAAACATTGCTGTTCGGTTCTTCTGTAGGAGTCCTTGGGAATCGACATAAACAAGAGATGGCCAGTTAGCACATTTAATTGGTGACACATCCCAAATAAACCTCATCACACCCGGATCGAATGGATTTAAATTCTCAGGTAAAACACAAGCCAGGTGTGATTTGGTATTATGATATGTAATTTCCACATTGTCATAGTAATACTTTAGCACGATATACCATGAAGTCCCGATACAGAAGCAGAGGAGGTAGAGAAATCGTTTTATCTTTTGATAATTCGCCATCATATTCTAAAAGAGGGGCTGCAATCTGGAAAAGACACAAAAATTGCATTTGGTAAAAAAAATAGCACCTATGCCTTCGAAAAAGAACATGAAGAACGTCTGCAATGAATGAAAGACATTTAATGCATTCATAACCATTTTTTTTACAATCTCGAACTTGGAAGATATATGGATAGGAATACTGTAAATTCTGGACTTGCATTAATTTTTTTTAACAAATCTTCATTTTCCTTTCTTTTTTTTCTTATTAAACATTATAGTAAATCAATGTTTAAAGTCCTTCTTTTATACTGATTGTTGCCTAAAAGTACATGTAACAAAAAGTAAAAGTAAGAATAAAGGACGCACTTTATCTATATTTACTGAGTTACAAATTATATTTTTGAAATTGTATATTTCCAGTACCTTTAATATATAAAATAAAATTACAAAAGTTTACCTCCATTAGTTGTTTTCTATATGTATTTTACATTCCTGGATAGAAGTGATGAAAACTGTCCAAAAATCCATTGGTAATGCCTATCTTAAAAGAATGAAATAACATATATTTCTGTGTTTTTCACATTTGCATAGGACATTAACAAACAAAAGACCATGATATGTATAGCAAATATTTTACTTTTTAATATTTGATTCACTTTTACAAGTATCATTTATCAAATATAGAAATCACAGACAATGGAAATCTTTCAACAGTGTAACAGATGCACTGTAAACGAGTGCATACGGAATCTCTCCTGTCCAAACATTACCCCATCCAAAATTTGTAAATTTATCGCTTTGAATTTATGTAGACCGAATGGTTTCACTTTAATGCATTGTCAATTAAATTTAATTACAACTTCATGTTGCTTTTATTTCACTTTCAAAATCTTAGATTTAGCAATAATAAGCTTGAATTTTACAACTGTACATCAATGTTAATTTATCAATATGCCTTTTTATTGTGTATTGTCGCAACAAAACATATAACTTTTTAAGTGCTAATTGTTAATTGATTTCTTAATAAGGTTTTTAAAAATAATGGTCAAACTCTTAGGTCAAGGTTAAAATTATTTATACCAGCTTAAAGGTCTTGTCACAATGAATATACATGTGAAGGATGAAAGCCCTAGCTCCAACAGTTCAAAAAAAAATGGCCAAGGTTAAAGTTTCGTATATTTTTGTAAAAGTAGGTCAAATTCCAAGGTCAAAAGGTCAAATTTTGTGATACCAAAAGAAAGGTCTTGTCACAGTGAATACACCTGTAAAATACGAAAGCCGTAGCCAAAACCACTCAATAGTCATGGGCTAGATTAATGTTGAATATAAACAGACAGACAGAGAGACAGCTAAACAGACAGAGAGACATGACAAATACAATATGCCACCGGGATCTTCTGATCCGCGGGCATAAAAACAAATCATTGTATACTCTTCTTTATATCATTATTTCTTAAAATGACGAGATTTCAATATTAAATATCTATATATACGGAAGGCCAAATTGTAGATGGTTGACATCAGGCTCATCAAGTCTACAGACCAAGCCATGTATGCCACTACGCCATTAGGAATTTTAAACAGAGGAGTATCGGCAAGTACTCGGTAAACAGTATTCTTAAAAGTCAGTGAAATATTAATGTACAATACCTACATTGTTTATTATTTTGATTTGCTAAATATCGCAACTCTATTAAGAAGAGAAAACTCGAAAATAAAATATTAACAAAGAATGAATTCTAATTTTCTGTGTCTTCTCTTACTGTTATTTAAGTTTTAGACAAATGTGTTACTGTTCGGTGTAGTTTCCCTGTACTCAACAAAACAATGAGGATATTGCATGTGTTAATAAAATTTTGAAAAGTGATGTAACGAGTTTAAAAATAAGTTGTTTTTTTTTCATTTTGGACAAAGTATATTCAGTTTATATAATTTGTCTTCAATAACAAGTCATGCTGAGACTTTTTGAAGAAGTAATTGCTGATATCCGCATCTAGAAAACAATATGAACTTGGTGAGACGTCGCAAAATTATACATACAGGTACGACGGTCTTATCTATAAGATGCTTTTAAAATGGATATATCCAACATCTACACTGCATGCTTTACTTATCATACAACTGCTCTGGCATTACGTTTAAAATATGTAAAATGAATAATTAAGTTTACGCATCAGATGGTTCTTATGGATGCTTACCCTTAAGTAACACAATACAGGTGAACCCGACCTTCAAATGGTCAGAAGAAAAATCTTAAAATTGTGCATTTTCACTTAAACATTTTAAAAAATGCAGTAAGTGCGTTTATGATGGATAGCGCCAATAACATTTGAATTTGAGTGAAGATTGGGGTTTCACAGTATTAAAAAGCACCCCTTTTCAAACTAGCAAAAAACATTAATAACTACATAAATACAGTGTAATATTGATAATTCTTTGAAATCTTAAATTAGTATTAAGCCGTATTTAATCGTTTTGAAAATATCGATTCCTAAATATTTTGAACTATTTTGAGTGAAGAATCGTGCGTTTGCGTTCGCAATCGTGTAAGATCGTGTAACGTGTAGAATCGTGTGCGTGAAGGATCGTTCGTGTAACAGGTTTAATCGTGCGTTTATCGTTCTGGATCGTTCGTGTAACGTGATCGTTCATGTAAGTTGTCAACAATAACGTTGCAGCCACTGCAATGGAGAGACGTCAACAGTGAAAAACAATAAAGATCAGCAGACCATATTTGGAATTTTATTTAATTTGATCCTCTTCACTAGATGACGGCATATAAGCTTAATTTATTACAACACTCCTATTGATAGTTCTGAATATCTTGTCATTTTGATTCAAAATCACGGCCCGGCACGTACCTGTATCCCTGATTTCAATTTTTACTTTAACTAGTATGTAAATTTACTATAAATCAAATTGGAACGAATTATTATAATTATTAACTTCAACGTTTCTTTTTCAATATGTATAGGATTTTGAGCGACAAAGGAAAAAAGAAATAAACTTTCGAAATTCTTATCATATTCCCAGAAGACAATTGACTACTGCAAAAAAAAAAAAAAAAACAAACAAAAAAAAAAAACAAAAAAAACAAAAAAAACAAAAAAAAAAAACAAGAGGCCCACGGGCCTTATAGGTCACCTGAGTATCATGTAACAACTTTCCAACAATTGAATTCGGTTCGTGTTGTAAACCAGAGGCTATGTAACCCCCCCCCCCCATACCTCTGATCCAGGGGGCAAAAAATTAACCATTTTGCTAGATGCACCTTTCTTCATCATAAATATATATACTTGGATCATTGGCATAATACCCATGAACAAAGGAAAAGATTTTAAAAGAATTAATGTATTTTCACTGTATAATCAAAAGTGCCCCCCACCCTACACCAAATGGCAAAACTCCCTGAAACAGGGACCATAAAATTCACAACTTTGGAAGAGGCACTCTTGCTCATCATAACTATGTACTTACTTAGTTTATTTATATCACTGAATATTGAATAGTTTATTTAATACCCAGGAGCAGAGAAGAAGATTATCAAGGAATAAATGGATTTCACTACATAATCAATAGAGCCCCGCCCTAACACCATAACCCCTGACCCTGGGGTCATAAAATTCACAGTTTTAGAAGAAGCACTCTTACTCATCATAACTATGTACTTAGTCAGTTTATTTAATACCCAGAAGCAGAGGAGAAGATTTTCAAAGAATTTATTGCATTTTCACTATATAATAAATAGAGCCCCGCCCTAACACCAGAACCCCTGACCATGGGGCCATAAAATTTACAATTTTTGAAGAAGAACTCTTGCTTATCATAACTATGTACTTAGTTAGTTTATTTAATACCAAGGAGCAGAGAAGATTTTCAACGATTTAATGCATTTTCACTATAAAATCAATAGAGTCCCGCCCTAACACCAGAACCCCTGACCCTGGGGTCATAACATTCACAAATTTGGAAGAGGCACTCTTACTCATCATTACTATGTACTTAGTTAGTTTATTTAATACCCGGGAGCAGAGAAGAAGATTATCGAAGAATTAATGGATTTTCACTATATAATAAATAGAGCCCCGCCCTAACACCAGAATCCCTGACCCTGGGGCCATAAAATTCACAATTTTGGAAGAGGCACTCTTGCTCATCATAACTATGTACTTACTTTGTTTATTTATTACCCAGGAGCAGAGAGGAAGATTTTCAAAGAAATAATGCATTTTCACCATATAATCTATGAAGCCCTACCCTAGCACTAGAACTCCTGATCCTGGGGCCATGAATTTCACAATTTTGGTAGAGGACTCAATGCTGATTACAATTATGCCAACAGTTTGACTGCTTGATGTCCAGGAGTAAAGAAGAAGATTTTTAAAGATTGCACTAATTTTAGTGGTTTTGGCCCCACCCCTCAGGCCCCAGGGGGTCAGGGACCATGAAATTCACAATTTTTGTTCCCCGTTACCCATAGATGCTTTATGCCAAAATTGGTTGAAATTGGTTGAGCGATTGTAGAGAAGAAGCTGAAAATGTTCAAATGTTAACACACGACGCACGACGCACACCGCACGACGACAAACGGAAACGGATAGCAATAGGTCACCTGAGTTTACTCAGGTGACCTAAAAATTGAGATGTAGAGAGAACTAGATTTTGTAGAAAAATGTTGATTTATGACCTCCCGATTGAAAAATTGAAACTCTTGAAACCTTATCTAACATCTAAAGAACATTGCCAAATGAATTATATTCCAATATAGATGGACCGCTGCAAAACATTTAAGTCTAACTTACTTTTTAGTGGAAGAAAAAAGTTTTATGATACCCAATCGTCCCAAGATGAGATGATAATAATAATTCTTAAACCTTTTCGCACATCTACAGGACACTTCGATTCATATTCCAACATGGGAACGGACTCCTGTAAAACAATAAAAAAAGTAGAGGGAACGGCGTTTCTGGTAGGAAGAAAACCCATCTTTTTCAAAAACCTTAGACGCCCCCTAAGAGGAAATAGAAATTCCTAAACTTTAAATCACATTACAAAATATGAATGTTGTCATGCCGAAAAAGTATTGAGAATTCGGGGGTACAGGTTTTCTTATAAAGATGTCTTTTTCTCTTCAAAACCTCTGATTGTTCCATTTAAATAGTTAGAATATAAAAATTTCAAAAGGTAGGCCTGTCGACCATTCCTGTTTCAAAAGATGAATTGGCTACCGGTATTGTTTGAAATGTAAGAGTAGTTTAAGGAAGAATTCAGTGACACAGTCGGACTGTTCGGGATACCAGAACTTTCTGTTTAAAGTTAAAACGAGTGCAACATGAAATGTGTAGGAGGTCTCTATTCACTCGAAATGCGTGCATTATAAAGAAATGAAAGGAAAAGTTTTAGTGTTTGTTGTCTGCAAGTGGCGATAAATCTTAAACTTTTGACAATGTGTGTGTTTCCTGTTTGGTATAAATCTATGGAAACCTATTGTATATTAATTCCTATTATTCTTAAATTCGTCATAAGACTTCTTGACTGCTACATGCATATAAACTTTAATATATGTGACAAAGCAATTCATTAAAAAATCTAAGCCGGAAAACAGAACTTTTACTTCAAATTAATCTTAAGAGGTACAGTTTGTAACCCTATGAATAATTATCTGAACTTAAAACGACTTTTATCAGAATGGCTCGTCAAAAGCTTGTTGATATTCCGTTGTTATCGCAGTGATAAAGGCTTTAGAAATGAACATCAAGGCAACGGGGCAAACACCCAAATAAACACTTCACCATCTGAAATCTGCACAAAAATAATGACCGAAAAGAGCTGGGGCTTATGAACACTTTTAAAGACATATTTTATTTTGCTCCCTTTGGGAATCAATACTTTCATATTTAATTAAAAAAAATTACTGAAGATACCTTATCTTAAATCCATGTCGTTGTAAACAGCATAGAATAAATAAAATTACGCTACATCCTATGAACCATTACTTCGAAATAAAATAATTTTGTTCATTTTAATCATAAAGAAAAAATAAAACAAAGGCATATTAGGCTAGTTTTATTTTATTTTTCTTATTATATATTTAAAAACGAAGAATAAAGGAGATTCTTTTAAGAAATGAGAGTAAAATGTTTTGAATCAGTTACTCGATTTTTCACTTTAAATTAAAACTTTGAAAAATCGATTCAGAAGAAATAGAGGCACTATGCATGCATGAGCACTGACCTCCCTAAGTGATACCCTCGTTCTCCAATATCGGTATTATATCAAAGTCCATATTTTACTCTGGCAGAGCCGAAATAAGAGTAAGATCAAAAAAGTAAAATAAAAGGTACACAATGGCATTATGTAATAAAGAATATGTGAAAATATCATTAGATTTTTTCAGCGGTACCGGAAGAGTTGCGGATAAGGAGATGGATACCCTTCAACATTGTAGAAAAAAATGAAAGTGTCCATGTTTTGCTGTGGGAAACCCGAAATATGTGTCCGATCAAGTAAAATAGAGGGTGCACAAGAGCACTATGTAACAAAGATTCAGTAAAAGTCTCATTAAATTTTATTCAGTGGTATAAGAGGAGTTGCGGATTAGAGATGGGTGCCCCAAAGCATAACAGACAGACGGACAGAATGACGGACGGACGTCCGAATCACTGTTTCCCCTTCGATCCACTTCTTAAGCGGGGGTTACAAAAACCTTTTAATTAATTTAACTTACCTTTAAATCAAAATGAAATATTGTTATCTATTCTGTTTCCATGAAAATGCGGTAAATATTAAATTACGGAAAAATATAAAATTCATTCGTACACTGTACTATCCATGTTAAAGGTCCAAAGTCAAATGGAACATATGGCTATCGACTTAGTTTTCCTCTTATCAAAATGAATGAATTCTTATTGATCACAAGTTATCTCTCCTGTTTGTCTTCGTATTTAATCTAGATTGTCCATTTTTTAGTTACCGGGTTTGCAGGGCTGTCCAACTCGATAACGTGACCCGAGTCCTTACATACATAATATCATATTTCTACACGTGCATGCAGAGCAGGATATACTTATAAAGTGTTTTGAATGTTTATCACTTAAGTGAGCGTCTCAGAGAAAACCATGCAAAATGGCAAAAATGGTCCACAAGCTTACATCTCAAATATTTTAAAACTGGTATAAAACTGGAAGAGCATCCCATGAAAGTCCAAATTTTGAATTCAATTACCCCTCAATGTTGTTCTATTTTTAGCTTTGACCTATTTTATATAATGGCCCAAATATCCCTTGAAAATTGTGAAAAAAATACTAAAAACGATATATTTTGAGTACCAAAACACATACATGTTAACCTATTGTGATGAAAAAGAGGGAGATTCAGACCTCAAAAGCGGTAGCATTGCGCGCGTGTTGTTTAACGCTTTGATTATCGATATCTTTCATGTAATATACATGTATATTATAAGCCTTAAATGAAATCATGTACCTACACTAATTAATCTTAAATATCAACAGCAATAAGAAGACAGAAACACCTTAAGTTTGACATAAATTGTACAAATTCAAATATTTTTCATGCTCATCATTTTGCTTGGATTGGTTGCTTTACATATAGCCTTTTGAAGAGTGATCTTTGCTGAAATAGCCTAGAAGCAATAATTCTGAATGTTCATTCAATTTTTAAACAAAACAAATGATGGCATTGTTTAATCTAGATCTAAAACAAGTTCGTATATTTCGTAGTATAAATCAGATTTCCCGCGATGATCGAAAACGAAAGTCGAGATTGCCACATGGCTTGGTTAATCGAATGATTTCTATTGACTTTATTGATAAAGTTGTGAGCTTCTGTCCTTTTAAAGACGATGTCAAATGTTTTCATTTAATTCTTAAAAGCCGTATCTCCTTTCTCATGGCAGGGATGTTGATTAATTTATCGTAACCAATCATGTCCAATGTAATCACTGGTAGTCTTATGTTGTTGTCGTTGTCAAATCCGTGCTTGAAATTATGTACAAAAAAAGCGTTTGTATGATTCCGAGTCAAATCACGCGATATCTAGCGAGATTTTATGAGAGTGGCTTCAAAAATGGATACCCAAGCGAACCAAAAATACTTTAGACGCAGCTTTTGTAGAAAAGCGGTAGATTTCTGAATTAAATCGGTAGGCGGGAGATGGAGTGAAAAAGCGGTAGACTCCCGCCTAAATCGGGAGAGTTAACATGTATGCAAAACATGAAAATAAGAGAACAATTCATACAAACTTTGTATTTATATGTAAGTTATCTATGTCTTATTCTTTCAATAAAACAAAGTTGCTTTGACAGTACTGCTTTAATAAAGGTTAGGTAGAATTTAGAAAACTGGCATATCTACACCTTTGCTAGATGCCTCAGAAAATGCCAAATTTGAATTAGGTATAAATATACCCGTAAACGCTTGTATTTTCTCCTTGTTACTAGATTATAAAACTAGAAGACCTAAATCAAATCTGGAAAAAAATCCATCTTTGGACTCTCAAGGTTTACTGCACAATTGATTAACATTGACCCATACATTTATGGAATAAGCCTATTCTAGGTCATTCTTGAATTTATCTATATTTTAGACATTTAGACCCTAAACGTTTCTAAAATTTTGAATTAATTAAAAAAAAAATATTTTCTGGCCATAAATACTTGTTAAATCAATATATTCCTTGTTTAAATCGGGTAGATAAGTTTTGTGTCTATGAAAAGTATTATGAGATTTACCTCCCCTTAAATGCAATCTCCAGGCAGAGGAGGTAGAAAAGAGAAGGGAAGTCAAATGGAGGTCAAAAACAGTGATCATGATGAGTTTGGTTAAACTTTTAAGATCTCTGTGGTCAGATCATTTTAACCAGAATGACTTCCATTATTTTTATTGTTGATTTGATTTATTTATAATTGGAAATGGAGGTTCATTTGCAAGCACCACCTGTGTGTGACTTTCATGATGGTGAATCTGATTGTGATTTTGCCGAAATGTTTCATATTTATGAATGTGACAGAGATATTTTGAACCATCTATATTCTCTGCAAAGTGCAGAAATTATACACAAGCATGTTTATGATGCCCACAAATGCCCTGAGTATATGTTAATATTATATCGAAGTGGGTATTTCACGGTTGATAAAACCGTTCTATCGATGAAAATATGCATAAAGCACCGTGAAGAGTTGGGGGCAAGATGGAAAAGACCCAGGCGAACCTGTTCTTATCCTAGTCATCAGGGAAAGATAAAAGCAGACAGAGGAGCCAGTCCAACGTTGTGCAAAGAACTGTGGTTAAAGACAAAACAAATATTACCAGTAGGGTCAGGTTGGTTATAATTATTGTGAACCTAGTTATCAATTTTTCAATAAATGATTATTTTAAAAGTGCATTGAATTATGTAATGAAGAGTGGAATAAATCTACAGTAAATAATTATAAATTCAAGAAAAATAAAGAGCTTATACATGAAGTAATTTGAGAAAATGACAAGTGATTTACAAACAGATCACTGCATGCAAGTAAAAAGACTTATATGGTATGTTAGGAATTTATTTGAAAATTACATAAACCATTATAATTTTTTTAAATGAAAAAAGGAGATTGTCATTTAGGCCCATTATTGGAAACTGCATTAAATGTTGTAATCTAAATTAAGGCACTCATTGAAAGCTATATAATAAAATATTAATTATAAAAACTGTGTACAACAGGTGATCACTATTTATAATACATATGTTAAGCTTAGGAAATTTAATGGAATTGAATTTAAAAATAGTGATGTGTATATGCCTTAAATTAAGTTCTGTTTAAAAGAGTGTACTTGTACTTTGACATAATGTGCATTATTTACTTGTCTTGTAGCAATATGCAAGAGGTGCTCAATGGAACATAAGAAGAATGTCTCTCCATCTTACAGTTTAGAGTTTGTGGAAGAACTTGGTAATTACTAATATTATATTTGTTAACTATGCATTAGCTACATGTAGCTAATATGCATATTGCACATGTAAACAATTTTCAGATTCTAAATGCATGGCCATGGAGGGGGGGGGTTATTACTAGGAAATAATTTTCCCCATGTATAGAATACTGTAGCAAAATTAGCTACTATATATATATACATGTGACCCCTCACAACTGATGACCTTTTTTTAGCCTGTTCAAGAAATTTTTGTTAATTGATAGTGCCCCCAACTCAAACGAATTGGCCTTGCTCCCCTTTCCCCCAACTGAAATTGCTTTCTATGAGCCTGAAATTTTAGGAAAAAAAATTGAGAATGACAAAGGGTTCTTTGCTTAATGATTTTATACATATAAGACAAAATCCTTTGTTAAGTAGAAAGTACTTGGACATTTTTTATAAAACTCATGAAATTCTGAAACTTCAGTGCTGCATGTATATGATATGCAATATAGCATGTATATGGTATGCAATATACCTTGCTAGTTTAGTACATTATTGCACAATGGCATGCAACTTGTGCCATTCCTGACAAATTGAATTTTTTTTTTTATTAAAAAAAAGTACATATTTAGAAGATCACATTATTTTACTTTCAGAGTGGTGTGAACAAATTTGTACAACAATTAGAGGCAAATGCACACAGTCAAAAATTCAAGGTAAAATATTTTTCATTGTTTTATGTTGATAATGTATGTGATTATTCACTATTGTGTTATCATCATTCTTGCCATTCTTTCTGGAAATTACTTTGTAAGTAGACTACATGACTTTATTTTGGACATCTAATTGTATTCCAATGAAAATTTACTATAAAGTTCTCAAGATCTATTGTTTTAATAATACAGGAAAGTATGTCTGGCAGATTCAGAAGATATCATATACAATAATCTGTGCTTTGATCCATTTATCATTTATAATCTCTATAAATTTAAACCACTTATAAAGTAAATTTATAGCATAAATGTAAGCCCTTACCGAAAAATAGGGCTTCAGGCGAAGTACTGCGGCGAATCTGCCGCAAACTTAGCGGCAAGGTTACTGCAGATTGTTTGCAGCAACCTTACGGCGACTTTTTACCATGCAAATGAAGTTTGCGGTAGACTTGCCGCAAACTTGAGATAGCCTAATATGGTTTATGGTGAACCTCTGGTGAAGTTTTGCGGCTAACCTCCGGCAAACATCTGATAGCCATATATAGTTTGCGGCTAACCTACGGCAAACTTCTGATAGCCATATATAGTTTGCGGCTAACCTACGGCAAACTTCTGATAGCCATATATAGTTTGCGGCTAACCTCCGGCAAACTTCTGATAGCCATATATAATTTGCGGCTAATCTCCAGCAAACTTCTGATAGCCATATACAGTTTGCAGCAAACCTCTAGCAAACATTATCAGATAGCCATATATAGTTTGTTGTTTACCTCTGGCAACTTTGAAATATCTATTACTCCCCTAAACTTCTAATAGCTATAAATAAATCTAATGCATTATGAACACATTAATCATGGACTGCATAAAACAAGGATTACAAGCAAACATTTACAATGCTCTAATAAACGGTCAGTGCAGCATTAGGAAATTACCACCTGGTAGACCAATTATCTCGCAATGCGATACGCCAACGAGGAAAATAGGACAAAATTGCGATTACTTTCTTGTACCCATTGTACAAAAACAATCAACTTATATCAAAGACACTACGGACTTTATCACCAAAATCGAAGGCCTCACACTGCCAACAAACGCATATTAATTACTTATGATGTGACGAGCATGTACACAAACATGGAATTCAACGAACTTCTCTCATCAGTAAATGAGGCTTACACACAGGCCAATAAAACGCAATTAGACATTCCATATCCGGACCCTGAGGATCTAAACTTCTTACTGAAATGCGTCTTGGAAAACAATTACTTTGAATTCGACGGAAAATATTACAAACAAATAATAGGAGCAAGTATGGGGGCAGTCCCCAGTCCAAGATCTGTGACATCAGAATGTATCAAATCACAAAGCATATAATGGCACAATTTCGTCATGCCAGCAAAATTGTCTTCCACGGCAGATACCGTGATGACGGTTTCATAATATTCAATGGAACGCAACCAGAGATAGAAGAATTCTTTAATATCGGCAATCACTGTCACAAGCATCTAAGATTTACATTTGAAATTTCTCCATCTGCTGTCAACTTCCTTGATACTACAGCTTATAAAGGACAGAAATTTCAAAATTTTAACAAACTTGATATCAAGTCGTTTATCAAACCAACAAATAACTTTCAGTATCTACACAGACAGAGCGCTCATAGCCCAGCTGTGTTTAAAGGATTCATTAAAGGAGAATGCATTAGACACGCAAGAAACACCACTGACCCTGAAATATTACATGCAACACTTAATGACTTCAAGACGCACTTATCAAAGCGAGGCTACTCTACTTCGGAAATTGATCCTATTATCAAGGAAACGGTCAACACAAACCGATCAAAACTCATCATCAAAAAGACTAAAGAACAGTCATTACGTAACCCTACAGCACTGGTTACTAAATTTAACCCTTGCGTTAAAGGACTGAAAAAACGAATTCTAAAATATTGGAACACCATTCTTAGAAATCCAGAATGCAAAACTTTATTTAATTCTCAACCAATCATTGCTTACAGCAAACACAAGAATATAGGTGACGAGATAATCCGGTCTCACCTAAAACAAACACCATGATTTATGTCCGTGACCCCTGATGAGGCTTCTTAATAGCCGAAACACTCTACAACTACTTGCATAATTCAAATCAGATATTAATCTGCTCTATGCAAAAAACATATCTACTTAAAGTGTGGTTTGGAGTGTCGGGTCCTAATAAATCTCTTACAAGTTTGGTTGATTGATGTCGCTAATTTTCACACTAGGAAATTGAATGAATTTGGTTCATTTCATTAGGTGAATGTCTACAGTCGCACTTGGTGGATACCCAAATTGTTGAAAATGAACAAGGAATGGCATTTGAGATTCAGGATAAAGACAGTATGTACACTTGTATGAATGAAAATAGTACATCTTACCAATGTAAAAAAGCCATCAATATGGTCATAGAGGTACATGTAACTAACTCTATAATGCCGCAATAAGTCAGAACGATTAAATTTTTGTTTCAAAGTAATTATCATAAATGAAAATAAAATATAAATAGCAAGGCTAGACATATAATCTGTGCAAAATCTGACTTATCATTATGACAATTGACCATGATTTTTTAAGGGTTAAGTTTATTTAGTTAAATTCATTCTTATCCAAAGTCATATCTGATTGCAGTAAAAGTAGAATCAAGAGAATATATTAACTTTATTTTATCAATATACTGTATTCATTCGATATTACATGATCAATTCATTATAGGTGTACCATGTTCACAAGAAATTTTCACAGGGAGTTTAACTACAGACATGGAGTTTGAGATTTCCTGTGAGTATTTGATACTGCCAGAAATCACTTACATGTAAACTAAGTATTTTATTTAGTGTACTATATTACTTCAATTTATTAGGGCCCCACTCTGTGGGCACCCCATAGTGATCAGTCTGCCTGTCCTTCCATCCATCCGTCCATCTGTCCATCCCAGATCCCTTGTCCGGAGCATATCTTCTCTCTCCTAGTCCTTGGCCCAATCATTTAAAGGTGTTCTTGGCCCAATCAGTTAAAGGTGTTCAATGACCTTGAACCATGTTTCTAGGTCTAAGCCTAAGGTCAAGGTAATAGCAAAATTATATGAAAAATCTTTCACTAGAGCATATCTTCTCTACCCTTGTTCCAATTGGGCTAATATACTTCACCCAAAGATTGCCTTTGGGTAAAAGGTGTGCAGTGACATTGAACCATGTTTTTAGGTCTAAAGTCAAGGTCATAGCAAAGTTACATAAAAAATCCTTCTCCATAGCTCATCTTCTCTACCCTTGATCCAATATGGCTCATACGTCAACTCACAGCGTTTGTTCAAATCATGACCCCCCAGGGGTAGGATGGGGCCACATCTTAAAATCTTGATAACAATAGTTAAGCGATGATTTAGTAATATGGATTTGGAAGCATCCTCTTGTAGCATTTACACATTTTGTCTTACTTGCTTCTAGTTGGCATTGTAGTATAAAACTAATTAATTTAACAATTAATTTTTCTTTCCAGCCACAGGTTCCTGTACCCCATCCCTACCTTCTTCTCAGGACTGGTATGAAAAGAACAAAACACCGAAAGAAAAACTAAATGAAGCTTTGCAGAGACTTGCAGGTACATGTAAGAAGAGTTATTACATGCAAATCATGACCCCCCAGGTAGGATAGAGCTTCAATGGAGGATCAAGTTTTTACATACAAATATATATATACATATATAGAGAGAGAGAGAGAGAGAGAGAGAGAGAGAGATGTCAATCGGTCAATATTTGATAATCAGTTACTCGGACGTTTTTTGGATCAAGTAATCGGGTACTCGGTAAAATTGTAAATACAAGTCTGTTAATTTTCTTTTAAACCCCAATGTTTTTTATTACGCTTTGAGTGCATGTTTAAAAACATCGAGTTCAATGAAAATGATTTATTGTACTTGATTGATTTATTTTAAAAAATACACACAAACAAAACGTATCACTTTGATACACCGATAGGACTGCAATAGGTGAGAAAAGCTGTATACCAGGTAATTGGTCACTAATTAGTGTATAAACACAGCCACAGGCGATAACTGGTGTTTTAAATGGGTAAGGGCAATGGCACTCTTATTATCGTATGCAAATTTAAGTTATTTTTTGGTAATTTTTTGATAAAGATATGTACTTTGGAATATGGAAAAAAATTATACATCTGAGTAACTGAGTTTGAGTTTATTCTCATTAAGAACAAAGTCATGATCAGTCAGTCAGAAGCATCCATGTCAATGAATGTAGTGTAGAGTAGAATCAAGTTTGTTCAAATTATCCCCCCCTCCCCAGGGTAGGGTGGCGGACAAAAAAGAATTTGTAATCAAGAATAGCAAAGCCATTATGAGTCATATGAATATGAAAGTATCCTCAGGTAGTGAAGGTTCAATTTCATTTAAAACATGAACCCTGGGGGGAGGGTGTGGCTAATGTGATCAAAGCTTTACATGTGAATGTGTAGGAGAAGAAATCTGCTGATAAAGAACAGTAGGGCCATATTGACCTAGATGAATGATGTGGCCCATGGGCCTCTAGTTTGTGAATTCCAGTAGAGGATTACTCTCCTTATATAACAAATTACATTCTATATCCTAACAATGACTATTTTGCTTTCAGGAGATCAGTTTCAACCTCTAAAGTCCCAGCTTACAAGACCTTGGTCTGAATTAGCGAAGTCTGCAAAGTATTACTATATCAGCAAGGCTAAAGAAGCTGTAATGATAGTTCTGTCCATCATTGCCCCAGGACAAGAAGACACCATTCTTGCCAAAATCTGTCCAACATCTGAAAATGAGAGCAAAGAAATAGACAAAGCCACAAAACAGTTGATAGATGCCTATCATGCCACATCAGACAGAAAAACACAACAGCAGATCCTGTCATTGTTTGTAAACAACTTTACAAAGCAAAAGCTTCTTCAGCTTATACCATCTCTTACACAGTCCAAAATTGATGCAGCTAGAAAACATGCCTCAGTCATAGGACCAGGACAAATGCTGAATCCACCAAAGATATACAGAGTACGTCTGACCAGACCAAAACTGCTGCATTTTATTGAATATGTATCTATGCCCTCAGTTTCCCAGGTTCTTGGTTTTGGTGCCACACAGCTACATTTGTCAAGTGGAGAAAAGGTGCAGATTCCAAAGGTCATCAGAAATGCTGTGAGTGCCAGAATCATTGCAAACTATCAAGAGTATTGCAAGGAATCAGATTTCCAAACTTTTAGCCGTGCTTCATTGTACAGAATCCTCAAAGCCTGTCGAGCATCAAAAAGGAAAGCAATGCATGGACTTGACAACACCACAGCCCTTGGAATGGATGCCATGGAGTCATTACACAAGGTTGTGACACGACTTGGTGAATACGGAATGGAGACAGAGAAAAAAGAGAATCTGATTGACATGATCTTCATCTGTAATCAGCATTTGAAATTTGATGCAAAGAGTCATTTTAGCAGAAGTTCATCATGCAGTGATCATTGTACAATATATGCCCTGAGTGATCCAGCAGACACATGCTTTTCAAGTAATTGTGACCATGAACATTCAGACACTTGCTCTTATTGTGTTTTGACAGACAAACTTACAGAATGCATCAAGGAAGCCATGGAAACAGTTCAAATACCATCTGAGGATTTGATGGAGGAATTGCAGCATGAAATTGTCATGACCACAAAAGCCATCAAGGACTGGAAGGCTCATCTTCTCAGAACTGTTCATCAAGACTTTGCAAGATCAGATGTCTTACAACACCTTGACCTAAACCAAGGACTACTTATAATGGATTGGGCCATGAAATTCCTTCCTCTCCAGTACAGAGAAACACAGTCAAATTTCTTTGGAAAGAGGGGGATTAGTTGGCATATATCCTGTTTAATTACCCAGAGGAGTGACCCTGAAGCAACAGCTAGCACCTTCCCAGACCATTACGACTTGAACACCTTTATCCATATCCTCGAGAATGGAAATCAAGGTTGGTTTTCTGTTGCTCATATCATTATGCACCTCCTTCCAACTCTGTCAGAGCAATTTCCAAACCTTCAAGAGATCTTCCTAAAGACAGACAATGCTGGATGCTACCACTGTACACCATTAATTTCATTTGTCAGTCAGAATTACTGCCATTTTCCTATTACCATCAAAGAGTTCAACTTCAGTGAAGCGCAATCTGGGAAAGATCTTTGTGACAGCAAAACTGGTTCCTGTCGAATGCATGTGGCCCGATATCTGGATGAAGGAAATGATGTTCTGTCTGCCTCAGACTTGAAGAGAGCTTTAGAAAGCAATCATGGATTGAAAGGAACTAAAGCCTGTGTTATCTCCATTGACAATGCAGAGGAACCAAAAATAAAATCCAAAATCCCTCAAGTCAGCCTTCTGAACAACTTCGAATTTAACATGGATTCAATAATTGGGAGAAAGGCATACCAGGTTGGTTGTGGAAGACTCATTGAGACAAAACCCCTGAAAAATCAACATCTTGATGTGAGAGAAATGAAAGGTTTCCAGGTACTTGTCATAATTACAAATCTATAATCACTTTTGTATGGATTTACACAAATTATTTTAATAGTTGTTTTTTTTTTAAATTCTACAATATACAGTAGAAATGCTATTCTTTCAGTTAAGTATTACTAATGGATTATGGATTTTTTCTGGTATAGGTTTTAGAAGAATTTCCGTCACATGCAGTTGATACTGGACAAGTTTGTGTGAGAAAAAGAAACCCTAACAACAGAAGTGAAGCTGTCGATGAGCAGGACCAGGATCAGACACAACTGGATAATGAATTGTATGCCTGTCCAGATCCCTCTTGTCAGAAACAATATCTGAGGTCTGCCAATCTCGAGAAACATCTTGCTCTGGGGAACCACCTGTACAGAAAAGCAGAGGAAACTGGGATTGATTCTGGAATAAGAATCTGGGCTGAGAAGTGTTCGGCCATTCGCGACAAATACACTCACATCTGTGAAACAGTAACCTCTCACAGTGATGATACCTGTTCCCAAAGTTCAGGAGGGTGGGCATTAAAATCTGTAAGTAAATGCCTCAGGTTCTCGCTAAATGTAAAAGACTATGTAAAGCAGATTTTTGAAAACTGTGAGAAGACAGGAAAACGCCCTAACTACGCAGCCTTAAGTGGAGAACTTAAAAAAGCTTCTGATGAAAATGGTTGTCGCCTCTTCAGGCCACATGAGTGGCTGACTGCAAATCAGCTAAGAAACTTGTTTGCATCTTACATAAATAATAAGAAGAAACAGTGCAAAGTCAGAGAGAGACGTACAGATTTTTCAGTTGAATTAGTGGATACAGAGAGCATTGTGAATGATGAACATCTCCAAGAAATTGTCATGAATCTCAAGGCAGAAGAACATCATCAGACTTTATCAGCTATGTATGAAAATGTGTTGAATGCTGTAAATACATAATTTTGTGCATCCATGGCAACCTTTCTGATAAATTTGTAGGTGTGAAAAGTGAATATTTTGCAAATTTATTCAAATAGTGTAAGATATTTCTCAAGATACAAATACCAATTCCAGCATTTCGTGAAATGCACTTAGCATATGAATATTATTAGCATATATGTATTTCCAATTTAAACACTAGATATTTAAAATTTTGTTTTGTTTGGTAACCAATTGGTAAACATTTCTATGGTAGCTTTCATGCTATGTTAGTAAAAATTGTTCTTTCAAGTTTTGTATCTCTTTCATAACACAAATAATAGTTGCTTAAAGTCAGATATATATTTATATATATGTGTATTAGCAAAGGTAACGATCTAAAGTATTCTCATAGTATTCGAAGTCTAGCTTGCCTGAATATGTCAGAAAAATTGAAAAATTGAAAAAAATGTTTATAAAAAATGATGTTTCCATGGCAACATTTGCATAATTTTCTTTGTTTTTGTACACCAATGTTTATTTGTAAACCATTTTTAATTTTAAATGTTTGTAAATATAAGACTTTTCTTGATTTTCTGATTTAAGTGTAATGAATTAGTAAACTAATTTTCATCCTTTTCAAAGTAAATGATAGAACTCCAAGAATATGGTATTTCCATGGCAACATATTCTTTATTTTTACATGGCAAAAATACATTTCTTACAATTTTTAAACACTTTGCATTTTGTATATAAAAAAATGTTTATTAATATGATTAACTTTAACTTTTCCTGTTCAAATAAGTAACCGACCATTTGCTATTTTCAAAGAAAAAATATACCAAGATAATGTCGTTACCTATGACAACATATATGTTCTGTATTAAAATGTTTTAGTCCTTTTTACATAGAATTGTGTTATAGTTGTCCTGTTTGTTCTGAAATATTATAAAGTGACATGCTGAAACATTTCGAGCTTATTTATGAATACTAGATATGAGCTATTTTAACCATTTTCATTACTGGTATGATTTGCAAAACGTCAAATTAAAGCATTTTCATGACGTCATACCGATGCTATTTGAAAAAGTCCTATGACAGATTTTTTATATTTTTTTAATTATGGTCTGTACTTCAATGTGTTATTACAATTAAACAAATTGCAGCGTTTACAGACCCTGTAAAAGTTATTTGAAAGTACCTAAATATTGAATTTTTTTGGAAATTTGAATTTTGGACGATTTGTGACCTTTTTGCACTTAGATTGGATAAGTACTAATTAAATTTTACTATCCTGAATGATACTCTAGGCAACATACTTTTATGCCTATCAATTAGTTTCAATGCATGAAATGTCATAATTTGATGAGACTTGCTCAAATATGTCTAGATTCCATGATTTAAAGCTTCTAATTGACAAGTTCTATTTTTAGTAACATGCCTCTAACTCGTGAACGGAGGCAAAAATAAAAAAAAATGTGGCAAATTCAATGGTATATCAATACTACATTGCACACAAAAATTACATTTTTTTAAAAAATATTTATAAATAGGCAAACTAAAACTTTCCCCTGTAAAACCATGATTTGTAGTATGTCAAAATATAGCATTGTTCGTGACGTCATATCTATCCTACTTGGAAGAGTCCAAAGATAGATTTTTTATATTTTCCTAATTATGGTCTGTACTTTAAGGTGAAATTGCAATAAAATAAATTGCAGCGTTTACGGACCCTGTAAAAGTCATTTGAAAGTTCATAAAAATTGAATTTTTTTGGAAATGTGAACTTTGGACGATTTGTGACCTTTTTGCACTTAGACTGGATAAGTTCTGAATAAATTTTACTATCCTGAATGATACTATAGGCAACATACTTTTATGCCTATCAATTAGTTTCAATGTTTGAAATGTCATAATTTGTTGAGACTTCCTCAAATATGTCTAGATTCCATGATTTTTAGCTCCTAATTTGACTACAAGTTCTATTTTTAGTAACATGCCTGTAACTCGTGAACTAAGGCAACAATGAAAAAAATATATGTGGTAATTTTAATGGTATATCAATACTTTATTGCACACAAAAATTGATATCAATACATAAACCTTGCTTGTGGAATGTTTTGCATGGTTTTCTCTGAGACGCTCACTTAAAGTGCATCAAACAGCTGTCGGTGATGTTAAACAAGTACCATCATGAGCATTTTTATGCATGAAATGTGTGGAGATAACGAAGAAGGACGTATTGGAGCTCTTAGACATTACAAAATAGGAACGTAGTAAACACGGATCTCCAAAACATCAGAGGTGGGATCAGGTGGCATGGAGGAGTGAGTATCCTTTGCCGACCTGCATGGTGTTAATTGGAAAGCATGTACATTTTTATTTCTAAAAAATTCTTTATTATTTTCAGTTCAACGCTAGGAGGTAGAGAAGGATATATGTTTCACTCCCGTCTTTTTTTTTTTTTTTGGAGTACGTCGGCTTTAGCGTTAACGTCCCTGTTATAATAAAGTTTTCGGAGCAAGTCTTTTCTCTCGTAACTATAAACCCTACCTACATCCAACTTACATATATGATGGCGCCTAGAGAAGAATACTGCTAGATTTGTTTTGGGTGCTGGATCTGACATAATTTATCCAGAAGAATATCCATTTAGAAAGTTTGGAGCAGGATCGTTCGCAGTCTATTCCCGAGTAATAATAAGCCATGTGTCAAGGGATGGACACTACCAGATTTAAGCTTTTGGAGCAGGACAAGCTACCTTACCTTTTCGAACTTGCATGGGTGGTGTATTTAAGAATTGTGAATACAAGATCTTCTTCAGATGCTGTATCTGACATTTCATTTCTTGAAAAGTGAATATTAGCCTTAATAGAACAAAACTAACATGAATCATATATCTAGGGATACACAATAGCAGCACTGGTTTATATACTATCAGACCTGAGTTTATACGATGGCTGCATGACCACGTTATAATGCTATAATGTGCAAAGCAGAAAATGCATTTAATGGGTAAACACTCAAAGTGGTTCAAAAATATTTAAGCTGTCAGTGATATATTCAAGCACTTGCCGGAGATTCTTGTAATCTTATTTTAATTTATATAAAAGAAAACAGATTTTGTAAAATTTCTGTCCGATTTTTACAACAGATGCATCATCCGCCTTCAAAAAGCATGCAGAAATAAGCACGTGACTGAAAAGGGATTTTTCAAATAAAACATTTTTTTTTCTCTGAAGCCCTTTATCCAAGCAAAATGTATGACCCCCTCTAAATTCAAATTCAAGAAAATTTAAGGTGTCAGGCCAAAATGATAAATGATTGATAATTTATTTTCAAAAAAGAATTCGGAAAAGTGAGGTGCGTAAGCCTCTTTATTTGTCCTCTTTTTGCTATGTCCCGAATTCGGAACAAAAAAGTACGATTTGCGCATTGCACAGTAAGCAATGTATGACCCCCTATAAAATTCAAGAAAACTTAAAGCTGACAAACCCAAAATGATAAATGATTGAGAGTTAATTTTCAATTTGTTTTTAAACGAGGAGCACAAACCTCTCTATTTGTTCTCTTTTTGCTATGTCCCAATGTCGAAACCAAAACCAGTATCAATAGGATTTGCGCTTTGCACAGTAAACAACTCATTTTTCGCCATGTAGACTGTGATTTACCTTATTTAGAAGAACGATGAGAAAAGGGAAAAATCCAAGGCTTCGTGGTTTTCTTGTGGCAAGAGTAGGAGGGGGTATATTTATTTAATTTCACGAAACTGAATTTTGAAAATTAAGGGTTCACTTTCGGGTAGAGTGGTTTCAATAGCTTAGAGTCTTTCTTGGTGTAAATGAGATCAATAAATACATAAAACACTTTAATTTATATTGCATATGCAATCCTCGAACAAATGGAACAATTTTTCCTCATTCAAAAATTAATGTAAATTTTATAGAATTTATGGCCATTTAAGCAGACAGGCGAGGAAGTTGTTTAAAAAAATCTTTCAATGATTTTCTCCTACAACAAAAGGCATGAAAACTTCCCTTTTCATTTTTTTCAATACGGAACCCAACAACATAATCATTTATTTACGTAATAATAACTTTATCTTTCATTTCCATCAATGTTTTTTGTATAAAATTAACATTCGCTGACAGGACAATTTCTAAAGGGTTTTCAATGAAGAGGACGTTTTTTTTATCCTACTTTATATTTGGATGTTTTTGTGAGCGTGGGATGATTTTATCATCTTTAGACTTAAGATTTAAATCCTCCTTCACTCTTTTTGTTTAAAAACAAAAACAAAACAAAACCAGTGAAAAGGGATTTGTAACATATGGCGATTCTAAGTTCAAGACCAAGAAGATTATATTACCATCATTTCATCTATGAAATATCATCTACTGGATTTAAGAATTATATGATTTATGTATGAACTTCAAGATGAGACATGCACGAAGGTAGCTATATGAACACCTATCCGTAGATGAGACATGTACATACTTGGGTAGCTAATATGAACATCTAGACGAGCCTTGTACGTTGGTAGCAAATATGAACACATAGGATGAGACATGTATACATAGGTATACACTATACAGTGTAGCTACATGTATATACACACGCTTAAGATTTGACATCAACATCCAGATGCGGCACATATATACGTTAGGGATCAATCATAACATGCAACATCTGGATGAGACAGGTGCGTAACTATGTAAAGGGGTTAGATTTTTATATGAACACTTAGAGGAGGTATGAGTTTGATTCAAGCCCCCCCCCCCTCCCATTTAGCTCGACTTCAAATTGGAAACAAGATAGACACATAGATCTACACAGGTTCAACATGCACTTCGGAAATTTATAAACAAAAGAAACTATCAATGATTTTTTTTTATCGAATGTTGTTTTAGATCAATAACTATGATCAGATATCATGACACATTTTGGTGACATGTAGTAGATATATGATATTTCAGGCCCGGTATTCAAGAGGTCTCTGTTTTTTTCGTTTCAAGCATTTTCACTTTTTGACTTTTTCAGTG